GAGTGGGGCAGGGTTAAAACCCCTGTCATGTTATCTTTTTGCTGTCTGTGTTCCATTGGAGAAATGTCCATTTACATCTGGTTACAGAGATGCAACAGGAAGTTAGAAGAAATCTCCCAAAGTGAGAGGAATTCTGCTTGTCACCGGAACAGGTGTCCCACATTGCTCTGGGGGACACCTGTTCAAAAGGCCAGCCATTGACTGAATGGTAACTGAGGGCTCTAGGGAGTTGTAATCTGGCAGGGCGCACCATACGTGTCTTCCTTACCACCCTGCCAGACTACAACTTCCGAGAGCCCTAAGCTACCGGTAAGTCAGTGGCCAGGCTCTTGGGAGTTCCTGCCATCTTCTTCCACCAGCAGCCGCAAGCCATCACAGGGCCTACAATTCCATTATTATTTAAAATAAATGAAGCAAGGCATTCAAAAACTATTTTATGCATAGCTTTTTGGGGTTTTTTTGCCTAGTTTCTGGGGATAAAGGAAAAACCTTGTGGATATTGAGATTAGTTGCCTAAACTTTTACTTTCATTTTTTCACTGCCTGTATGTTTACATGTATCATTGGGCATTTGTTAGCCTGTGCTTAGAGCAGGAGGGTAACAGAACTCTCAACTTTCCTTCATTTGGATGGACTGTAACCCTTTTGAAACCAAATCCCTTTGTCCCTCTTTCCCCTCAGTTGTGCCTTTTTTGGTCTAATGTACAAACCTCTAGAAAAAATATTTAACTATCAAACGTGTTTTACTGCACTAAACGTTTCATCCAACCTCTAATTTATTGTATTTCTTATTTGAAAAGCTAGTATAAAGACAAAATGTTAAAAAGCATTTGGTTTAAACAATCACTTTTCTGTGGATCCATTCTTCAATAATTCTTCTACATGGTACCAACATGTTCACTTTAATCTAGTAGGAGATTTCCCCAAAAACCATCATGTAGCTGGTGTATCACAAAAGCAGCTGAAGTATGTTGAAGGTGTGCAGTAATATGAATTTCTCATGAATCAGGATAATCTTAATATAGAAGCATTTATTCAATACCTAAACCATGCTTGGTGACCACCAGACACTTCCTCAGAAGTATGGAGCAAGTACAGGGTACAGTGTGAGCCGTAGCTGTCGGTGCCATTAAGATTATAAGGACCTTATGACATACCATCAACATACCGCAGGCACCTCTGTGATACAACAGCCATTTGGGATTTTTGAAAACATCGACCATATGTCTCTGACCATCCTGATTTCACCTGGTGATAGCTCAATTGGGCCCCTCTGAGCATCAAGAGTGACAACCCACTGCATGGAGACAGTTTTATTCTCCACAGGCACTTCGTCCAGGTTGTAGTCACCATTCACATGGTCATTGCAACCTCATCAGTGTAAGCTATTTTCTCTGTATAATCCTTAAAGTTTGTTATCCACCACCTGAGCCAAAGAGGAATTTAAAATACTATAATATAAGGATTCTCCCGCCCTCTCATCTCTTTCTTTCTACTTTTGAATGTTCCTGTGTATTCATCCACATTCATATCACATATATTGTTCACTGAAAGGCCATTGCACCTCTTTGCGCTACTGTCCCATTAATTCACATAGATGATGGCTAAAGGGCGCCATGAGTGAAGTTCATACATAGAAATGAATTGGGCCATGCACTGTGTATGCAGTAGGAACAGGACCCGGCTGGGATGTTTTAATTGCATAGCAAATGCAGTGCCAGGTAGGGCCTTTAGGTGAAGATCTGGGGAGTGGGGAGGAAGGAAAGTATTTTACCTGGTGGGCTGCACTTAGGAGGATGAGAGGGTTTATTTGAGGAAAATTGTAATCTAAGTTAAGTTGTCCTTTTATTACATAGAAGTGTGATAAAAATAGGATTTGCACTGTTTTTGCCTTAATTGCTTCTAATTACTGTTCCCCTTTCTGTTCTTCTGATGTAACTCTTCACTGTTTCCTGCTGCTTTTAACTGAAAATAAAAATGTTTTGTTTTTTTTATCTATAGAGCCAATGTCAGTGCAGTCCCTGCAAAACATATCCGCTGCAACTAGCTCCATGTCCTTTAATTGGAGCAGACCGGATGAATATCAGAGTTCTTACAGATACAGAGTGCAGACAAATGTCAAATCATCATCTGTACTGATCAATAATACAATAGTCACCAATGAATCAGCTACAATAGTGAATCTGACACCTGGAGAAACATATACATTCCTGATATATACAAGAGCCGCTGATAATGTCACTGAATCTGACCCGGTGTCACTAACTACCTGCACATGTGAGTGAAAATAATTTGGAATATAAAAAACAAGACTTCTTTTGAGTTCCTTATATAACTTTTTTGTGTTGTTGTAGTTCTTTGTGTCTTTTAACCTTCACTGTGGCTTTATTCTCATCAGTGTGAGATTGTGTATTAGTTTTTTTTTGTATGTAAAGCGCGGAAGGTTTGAACATGTAGCAAGTCACTCATCGGACAAAGTAGGCAGGTTTTTTATTGCTGTGCCCCCATTAGGAAAATTCACCCTCTCTAATTGCCCTGATACCCAATGTCACTAGAAAAGATTGTGAGGGTAAATCTAAAATTTTGAGTTGTCACCAGAACAGGAGTAAAGGCAAAATAAAGTGGAAAAAAATCAAAATGTCAGCATTTTTTTTTTTTACTATCTGCCATTGGGGAGCATTTCTCTCACGTCCTGTCCCTGTGATGCATGTACAGGATATGAGGAGATGTGGTTGTCATGTGGACAGGAAAGCACATACAGCAATAAAACCATTCTCAGAAATGATAACCCTTCACTCTACTATTACTTTTTTCTTGTTTCTGTGCTCACTGCAGATATTTCCTATCACTTCCTGTCTCCAATAGTGTTGGGGTGAGGTGAAATTTGGGCGTGCTTTACGGTTGAGCAGTGCCTTATTGTGTGATGTGTTAAGGCAGACCATTAAGGCAGACCAGCTCAGTGCACCTCATACCAGACCTGACCCTTTTTTTTAGCAACTCAGTGCACCACAACACTCATGACATGAATGAATGCCACGGCAATGGCACTGCAACACAACATACTAACTTGTGCAAGACATGTTAAGACAGTCCTGCCTGTTACAGGGTAATGCTAGATTCGGCCTGGGTTCAACCATTTGCAATGAATACCTCCAGTACCCAGCCTGACAGAAGGGACAAGAGCCTATATTTATAATACTGGAATAAAAGAATCGCATTGACTCGACCAAGTAAATTTGTCCAATGCATTGACTGGGGTAGTTTTGAATACTGAAAGAAAGATGGGTACCAACATTGAAAATCCAACCCTATTGCAATAATGCCCTTCCCAATATTCCATAAACAAACACAGATTTTTCCCTATGGTATATTTTTCGGTTACAGCGTTCATATGAGAATTTAGTTAACATGACCCAATATTACCATAAGAACAATAACATCACAAAGTTAGCAAACACCATCAAAGCTGTCCTTGACAGCGCCCCCAAAATTACAATCCAATGGTCACTCCATACCAGACACCAGCCATTGTACACCAACTTGGTGGGAACAAACCACATTGACAGATTTCAAAACCTTGCAATACTGTCGGTGTTTTCTTTTCAACTCCCATGAAACTCAAAGATCATCTGACAGTTGCATTCACCATCCTGTCACCCACAATACAACCTTACAAATATTTTATTCCTTTTTGCTATCGTCAAGGTCCAGCCACATCAGGCGGTCCAACCATCGATACAGCGAACACAAAATCTAATGGGTTCTAATTTATGAAAAAAGGAGGGAGAGAAGGTGGGGGCTAACTTCCTCCACTCTTATTGTCCATTGGTCAACCTCTCTGTGTTCCTCACCTTTTGTCACTTTTTTCCTTTACCACACTCCTCCCCTCTCTACCTTTTTGTGAACCCAGCCAGTCATGTGCCCCTTCATATAGGTGAACTGCGACACCCGGGGCAATCTGGATTTCGAGCCTAGAGTGTTATAGTAATGAGCATTTAACACGTGGCAACAGTCTGTAGAATAACATTTCCTAGCATGATACCCCAAGCCGATGAACTTAAATCTACATGCTCACAATAGGAAGTAAGAGGAAATCTCTCCAAAGAGATCACCATACATTAAAATGTACAATCTGATAGTAAAATCTCCTTCAGGTCTACCATCAACTACGCAAGGCCTGGCCTGATCTAATAAGGATTTAATGGGCTGTTTAGGTTTGTCCTTGTATTAAATAGTTTGGTAAATCTAAAGTAGATTGTACAGAGATTGTACATTCAGACTGTATGCAGTATGGCCAGCTTTAGATACTTTTCACCACAACAACTGTCCCACAGAAGATTTCCCTTCTATTTCTGTTCTTGTGACAGCTCAAATTTTTTGAATGTTCCCTCACTGATACCGACAATGGCCACCACAACAAATAGAGAGGGTGAATCTTCCCAGCATGGATACAGACAGCAATAATAATGTGACTTGAGTTCTAACCATTCCTTACTATAAAGAAAGGGCATTAAGGTGGCCATACACTTTACAACCCTCGCAAGACTTTTGTCTTGCGAGGGTTGTAAAGTAATTAAAAAAACGTACGATCTGCCCATCTTGGAAAGGCAGATCACACTTGCGATCATCACAAGCCCGCCCTGCGGAGGGGCGGGCTTCCAATGACCGCACCGCTGAACGGGCAGTGTGCGCGTGCGCACACCGGCCCGTTCGGCATTTGTCTTCCAAGCATGCCACAGAGCAGCCGAAAATCCTATGATTTTCGGCTGGTTTTCAAACATGCTCGTTAGACAAAAGACCTGCGACCGTACAGTAGAAACAGTCGCACACTTTCCATACACTTTGCGATTATCGTACGATAATCGCACAGTGTATGGGCACCTATAGATACACTTTATGATAAACATTGCAATAGTAACTCAAAATAAGTTATTTTAAAAAAACTTTATTTTTCAGTGGAATGTATGTGATGCAGTGTCAATTTTTGGTTTTCTTTTTTAGTTCCAGATCCTGTGTCTGAACTTATTGTAACTGACGTCACTGCAACCTCTATATCGCTGAAATGGAAATGTCCAAATGGAATATTTAGCACCTTCTCATTTGATGACGGGAAGACTATCCGTGTAATCCCCATGAACTGTATCTCTGATACTCAACAATACAAAATAGAAAATTTAAGTCCTTACACCGAATACACCATCAGCACAAGAACCTTGTCATGTTTCAGAGCCAGTGAAGTGAAGCAAGTAAAGCAAAGGACGTCTAAGGCAGCACGTGAGTACATACTGTATATGCTGCTCTTTGGCTGAACATTGATAAAGGGAAAATTGTATGTATTTATTTTTTTTGACATTTGGTTAAACGTTTTTAGCGTTAGGTTCACTCTAACATCCACTGCTCATACAAGCAGCACATCCCTTTCTTTTGCTCACCTGCCCAATTAGTCAGCCTCTCAGGGCAAAGAAAATACCTGGTACTCATTTCCCTTCCTCCCATGTGAGATCTTAAAGTGACACTTAAATTAACTGCAGAAGAGGAAAAAAAAAACGTGAGGTTCCCCCCCAATTGATACCAGACCCTTTAGGTCTGGTAGGAATGTTAGGATGGACCCCCCCCCAAGTGAAAAAAAAATGGTGCACGGGGTTCCCTCCAAAATCCATACCAGGCCCTTTAGGTCTGGTAGGAAATTTAAGGGAGAGCAAGGTGTCCCCCCTAAAATTCCTACCAGACCCTTGATCCGAGCACGGCAGGGCAGGAAAGGGGGGGAGATCGAGCACCCCCCCCTTCCCTGTGCCTTACCAGGCCAAATGCTCTCGGCATTGGGAGGGTGTCCCCATTCCGATGGGGACAAGGGCCTCTTTCCCACAACCCTGACCCGGTGGTTGTTGGGGTCTGTGGGCAGTGGGGCTTATTTGCATCTGGGTACCCCTTTAATTAAGGGGGCACCCAGATGCCTCCTCCCCTCCTTGTGAATGAGTAGGGGTACTTGTACTCCTACTCATCCACTAAAGGGTTAAAATTCAATGTAAACAAAGGAACCATACTTTTAGAAAAAAATCCTTTCATTGAAAAAAAAACAGAGTCAATTTGTTATTCATATAACACCTCTGCTCACAGACCCGAATGGCATTCAGAAGCTCACTCGTCCCCCACCTTTCCTGCACTGCCGGGCCTGTGCTCGGATCAAGGGTCTGGTAGGAATCATAGGGAGGACCCCACGGTCCCCCCCCCCATTTTGTGGGGGTGGGGTTCCCCGTTAAAACTTCCTACCAGACCTAAAGGGCCTAGTATGGATTTCGTTTATCTCTGAATAACGATAATTCGTCCGAATAACAAATCTTTCCGAAACAAATCACACAAGTCTAGCTGACACTGTCCTTCCTTCTATAGGGTGGCCAGATTTGGTCCCCATGGGTCCCTGTGTGTATTGTAAAGTAGTCGCCACTCCAAGCGCACTCCCGTGATGGACTACAATTAAAATTCAAATTACATGCTTTGTGCCTTGTGGCCAGATAGTAAATTCTAACATGCTTGTCAGAAGGCATGCCCTAGGAAGAGATGTGCAATAATCCCTGGTGCTGAAACCTTGTGCCAATGACTCAGTGAGGTCCCAAACCTATAGTGATTCTTGGCACCCCTGTTTTGTCATTCCCGGGGGGGGGGAGGGGCATTAGCACCATGAGTACACTGCCTTCCCAATCCCCAACCAGATCAAGCAGATCTATCTCATCAGGAGGCACAGGGTCCCTCAGGATCCTGCCTCACCTGTAGCGTACTAACCTTCTCACTTTTTTGTGGTGGGCACTAGATGTTCCCACTTTCCTGAAGGAAAATCCCTTGGAACCCCTATCATACTAGAGATACCTCCAGCCAGTAACCTTGCCTTAAGCCCGGTTAATGGTTGGTTTCTCCCCTTAGCCACTGGACAGATACTACACTTGAAATTGGTCAAAAAGTCCAAAAAGCAATTGATTGGTTGATGTGGGCAACATCTCCACTACACCCTTCCACTGTTGCAGAATTCTTAAAAGGGCTTTCTCAAGGCCTAGATGTTACTGTCAGGAACCGGATCTGAACCCAGGGCCTCTGCTATAGTTGGCAGTGGTTCTACCTGCTGAGCCACCTTAGAACCTTGGATAACTCCTGTGTAATCCTCAGGTAAACCTAGTTTCTCCTGAACTCCTTGCTCCTCCCTTGAACTTCATATTTAAGCCATGCCTCTGCACTTCCTGTTTGCCAGATTATTCTGCTCCTGCCAATATCTTGCTTCCTGCTCCTTCTGTGATACAATCTGCTCATACTGCTACCCGTGTACAGACCTTTGGCTGCTGATTTACCGACCACTCTCATCGTCTTCCGCTTCATACCTGATACTTTTGGCTACTGCCCTCGGCTTGTTCGCTGTCTACTTCTGCCTGCTCCTCCACTACTACCATCTGCTTGTGTACCAAACCCGGCCTGTTATACCACAAATTTGCCTGCTGTTTCAGCTACTGGATTCTGAGCCTGATCCCAGATCGTGACAGTTACATGTATTGCTGATAAGGAGTGATATGGTTATTGCTCTTGCTTTGCACAGCTGGGGTCTCCCATGTTTGTGTGTCTTCCCCTCTGCTCTCACTATACAAAAACATACTGGTACGACCAATAGCTTCTACCCACAATTGCCCCTGTTGTGTATTATTGTACATGAATGAGTCCAAAAGAAAAATAAATACATTGCAATCAACTTCTGTGCTGGGACTGCTGGGATTGGTTAAATGTTGCTTATTACGTGTCATTGTATAAATAAGTTAAATAAACAAGCGATGGAATTAATAAAATATATCTTGTGCTGGAGAAAAGTTATCTCTTTCCTGCCTCCTACAGAGTGTATGTACTTCCGTATCAGATACAACGTGATGATGGTACACATAGATAATGACATTCTTTGTTTTTCTTTGCCTTCTTTCAGCTCCACCTGCTCCAACTGCCGAAAGTGTCATCGTAATTCTATCTTATAATCAGATTGATTACACTTTTGCATTGTTCGATTCCACAAATGGGCCTGTCGGCACATATGCCGTGATCGTCACATCTGAGAATGGTATGGGAAACTTTGTAATACTTTTTTTACATTTTTTTTATTTTCGGGGAATATAGAGAAGTTATTCGGACCTAAAGCCTCCTGCTAACAGAATCTATTTTAAAATGAAATAGTAAATACATTTTTGTTATAAGTTAATGTACTTGAAGTTTAGTGAGTTTAGTGTCACTTTAAGCATTACAACATAGACAATCGGCTAAACACCCAATGCCAAGCGTATTATTAATCTTTTCTCTAATAAGGGGTCTATTCACTAAGCCGCCGTAGGCAGCCGAGTGAATGACCGACCTAAAGCGAAGTGAGCCGAACGCTGTTCGGCTATTCACTTCAGGCTGGTACTGGTGGCTTCGGGTCGGCCGAGCATGCTCAGCATGTTCGGCCAACCCGAAGTGCAGAAGGAGTTCGACTCAGCCGATCCAACATCTGGATCGGCTAAGCCGAACCTCCGGCAGGCGACTCGCTGCTGTTTGGTCTATTCTTATAGATGCCGAACAGCAGTGAGTGAATAGCCGAATGCCGCTGAGCGGCATTCGACTCGGCTGTTCTGCTCGGTCCCTCTGTGGGACCGAGCAGAACAGAAAAATAGTTTAAAAAGTAGAAAAAAATAAATAGAAAACTATTGTGCGGAGCTAGCAGTGACAGCGGGTCTGCTGCTGTCCAAAAAAAGTATCCCGCTCCCGGCCGCCAAGGAGAGAAACACTGCTTTTTCGTTTTTTTTCTTTATTCTGACACGTCGTCGTGTCAGAATATTAAAAAAAAAAACATTTTGGCCATAGGAATGCATTGCTAGATTCCTATTGGCTATTTCAATTTGCAATAGCCAATAGCAAACTAGCTATTGTTCCCGCCCTCTGCTGCTGTCAATCAGTAGTGGTGGACCTGATGGACAACAGCAGCAGAGAGCGGGTGCAATGCAAGTTTACTATTGGCTATTGCAAATTGAAATAGCCAATTGGAATCTAGCAAAGCATTCCTATGGCTACAAATTATTATTTTTTTTTCTATTCTGACACAGCTCCGTGTCAGAATAAAAAAAAAATTAAAGCAGTGTTTCTCTCCTTGGCGGCCGGGAGCGGGAGACTCCCGGAGCTCCATGGAGAGTTAGGCTGTTTGGAGATCAGTGTGATTGGTTAGCTGGTAACCAGGGACGCTGATCTCTCTGCAAGTGGCTGGAGCCAGCCGTAAGATCACGGCTGGCTCCGCCCAGCTGTCAGAAGCAGGCTGTCCAATGGCTGGCCAGCTTCGGCTTTCTGCACGGCTCAGCCGAGCCGAGGCATATGCGTTTGCCTCGACTGAGCCGCTTGGCCACGTTCGGGAGCTGTACGGGCTATAGTGAATAGCCCGTACAGCACCCCTTCGGTTCTACTGAACCGAAGGGGTCCTGGGGCCGAAGCTAGCCAAAGGATTGGCCGAAGCTACGGCTAGATCCTTCGGCTGCTTCGTGAATAGACCCCTATATGTTCAAATACATAAACGTATATTGGCTAATATGATTCACACATTAGTCATTTCTTATCCAAGAACGACATCTAGTGGTGTTTCAAAAATATCAGTGCGTCCTTACAAAAGTGGTTAATATATACGTTAGCACATGCTAGATGGCCAAACATTTGTGGACACCTGACCATCACACTTATGTGAGCTTGTTGGACATCCCAGTATAAAATCATGGGCATTAATATGAAGTTACTCTATCTGTATGGCTATAACAGCCTCCACTCTTGGCTTGGCTTTTGGAGTGTGCCTGTGGTAAATTGTTCCCATTCGTCCAGTAGAACATTTGTAAGGTCAGGTGCTGATTAGACATGTGCACCAGCAAAAACATTGTTTTGCTTTGATTCAGATTTTGCATTATTTCGTTTTTCGGAATTCGGGTCAGAAAGTCAATTCGTTTCGGAATTCGGACGAAATTCGTTAGCGGTAATCTGTACAAAATTTCGTTTAAATTTCGTTTTCGTTTCATTCGTTGCAGCAAAGTGACATTTAAGAGGGGAAAAAATGGGTTTTTTTCCTCAAATGTCACTTTGCTGCAACGAAATTTCATCCAGACTACCGCCAACGAATTTGGGAATCGGAAATTTGGATTCGTTTGCATTCGTTATATCTGTGTCTCGGAATTCGGATACATCGTCCAAATTTCAATTCGGATCGCAACGAATCACACATGTCTAGTGCTGATGTTGGATGAGACGACCTGGTTACCCATCAGCATTCAACTCCTCCCAAAGGTATTCAGAGGGTGGGAGTGGATAAGGTGAAGTGTGCTTCTTCTTTTTGTTATCCTATTATGTATAGAACACAGGTTTCCCCCTAATATTCTGTTTGATTATGCTTATTTATCTTCTTTCAGCTGCAGGCAAAAATCCAGAAAAGAACATTTTAAACAAGACCTACAGCGATTTTAAGAGCAAAAGCTCCTCAGCTTATGTATTCTTGATCACAAATGTGAGCACAAATGCAAGGCAGGCAAGGGATACTGCAGCAAATACCAAGACCGTGCGAATTGGAGATAATAGTGGACAAGCACCTTATGTTAATGGTCCCCTAGAAGCAACAACATCTTACTGGTACATTTATATATATATATATATAATTTCATTATTAATGGAAAGATTTTGTGTTTTAGTGCAATAATTGATATCTCTACCCAACTTTCTGCTTATCAGAATCAATCACCTTCTCCTGTAGTAACACTGCAAGCAGAAACGGGCATCATAGCAAATCTTTTTACGAAATAATGAGGTATCCGTGCACACCATTATATCAGGAATAAAGAATCTAGAATACACTATCTTACAACTCAGCTTCAGTCTTGGGCCTTGTGATCTTTATCCACCTGAGTACCAGTCTGTAATCCTGTCAATTCCATTTTTCAGTTTTCAGCACTGTGATAGTTTGAAAATTACACGGTCATGCAACACTGTACCCGAAATGAATTTAATATCAATTGTTTTTGGCAGATAGAGCTTTCTTTTGGTGGTATTTGGCAACTATATAAAAGAAAAAACAAAAACACCAGAACCTTTTATATCCTTTTTCTTTATTTCAATGTATTGAATTTAAAAATGCCCGGACAGTATGAAAACGCCCAAAAATATCCGCTTTTTGGAAAGTGGACACCAAGTGATCTAATTTTTTTGCCTTAATTTGCCAAAAAAGAAACATGCCGGTATTGGGGTGTTTGAAATCTGAAGCAGTATGGTAATGGTGTAATGTATGAGTAATGGTGCACGAGACCCAGCTCATCATTAATGTATAGGTCATACACAGAGGAAGCGAAGGGGTTAATGTACAGGTTGCATACAGTGGGAGGATGGAGATGATAGGGTTGATTTGCAAGATAAGGGAGGCAAAGGAGTTAATATACAGGTAACACAGAGACTGCATGGACATGAGATATGCAGTGTCACCAGCTCGGGTGTCACCTGGTGTGCACGTCATTACGTTACACATGACGTCATTACGCACACGCGTAACTATGTGCACTTCACTGCTGGTGGGGGTTTAGAGGCGTCCCGAGGCGGGGTGACACCCGGTGCGGGTAACTGGTGACACCCCGCAGTGACGTCCTCGTGCATGCGCATAATGACATTAGACATGTGCGATTTGTTTCGTTCCGAAATGAAATTCGGACAAATTTTCGGGAATTCGGACATTCGGATGTATCCAAATTCCGAATTACAGATATAACGAATGCAAACAAATCCGAATTTCCGTTTCTGAAATTCGTTAGCGTCACTTTGCTGCAACGAACGAATGAACGAAACAAAAAAAGAAACGAAACGAACGGTCGAACGAACTACCGCTAACGAATTTCATCCGAATTGACTTTCACACCCGAATCCCCAAAAACGAAATAACACAAAATCCGAATCGAAACGAAACTAAACAAATTTTTTGTCAGTGCACATGTCTAAATGACATCATGAGTGGTACCGCTGTTACCTGCCGGCGGCCATCTTGTTGATGGACGCTGGCAGAGAGAGGAGGGGACGTCACCTGGCGGGATAAGGTATGCAGCCTTCTCTCTCTCTCTCTCTCTCGAGCAACTGCCGGGCTCTCTGTCCTTGACCGAGTGCCCGACTTTTCAGAGGGGGTGACATGAAATGACTAAGGGGTCTATTCACAAAAGGGTGAAAAGTTTGGAGAAGGCAGGAGAAGTGAACAATCTAGGCCAAAATAGCTGAACTGGAAAGTGAGCTGAATTGGAGAATGTTTCCAAATCAGCTATGTTGGTCTAGATTGGTCACTTCTCCCGTCTTCTCCAAACTCTTCACCCTTTTGTGAATAGACCCCTAAAGGTCATTATATTGTCGTCCCCTCTGATGGTATCACCTGGTGCTGGCCGCACCCCCTTTGTGACCCCACTGCTGAGATGTATGGGAGAGGAGGGAATGAAAGGGTTACAAGAAGATCCCACAATCAATTACAGCCCCTCATCATGTAGTACTGTTGGTAGCTGGTTACTTTGACCGCTTTGGTCTTTTGTCATGATTGCAATCTTGTTCAAATTGCCTGAAAATGACCTTGTGTGACTTGTCTTCCTGCTCGGGGTTACGCTAATGGATATCCTCTATTTGAGAGCCACCAGCTGACACTTTGTGCAGCTGGTGGCTATCAATCTCAGCTGTCACTGACACCTGTGGTCCCCACTGACAATTGGGAACCATTCAGACCCGGTTGCTATCAGTATGTCATCTGTGATCACATGCAGGCTGGAGGCCTCATTGACAAAATAAGCCTTCAGGCTGCAGATGGCATTGCAGTGCTCATTTGCTTAATGCATGTGTAAGTGTCAAATACAATTACACTATTAAAAAAATAAAATAAAGATATACAGTACATATACATTTTGTGTGTGTATGTGTATATACTGTGTGTATATATAAAGCAGTGTTTCTCTCCTTGGCGGCCGGGAGCGGGAGACTCCCGGAGCTCCAGGGAGAGTTAGGCTGTTTGGAGATCAGTGTGCTTGGTTAGCTGGTAACCAGGGACGCTGATCTCTCTGCAAGTGGCTGGAGCCAGCCGTAAGATCACGGCTGGCTCCGCCCAGCTGTCAGAAGCAGGCTGTCCAATGGCCAGCCGCTCGGCCAGCTTCGGCTGTATGTGTATAGTATGTGTATGTGTATATATATAGTATGTGTATGTGTGTATATATATCTATATATATATATATATACACACACACAGTATATAGTGTGTAATCAAACAAATGCTTTATGTTCTATTAATTTTGTTGTGCACTTTCCAGTGTTGCTGTTGCAGGTTTTACAGATATTGCGTATAAAACCGATGGCACAATTGACATAGACAGAAGCCTTTGGACAATCGGTTCTTATTCAAAGCCTATTACAACACCACAGAACCCAGGTACGTACATGATAAATAATGCTAAAAATGCTATAGAATCTCCATGTAAGTGGCTCCAGCATTTCTGTGTCTTGGGCAGAGATTTCTGTTTATAAAAGAACAAATGGGGTGCTTGGCCTTTCTGCATCACCCACCCACCCAGTAATGGCAGCATCCCACCACTCCAATGGCTCACTCATGGATGAACAGTTGTCACTTTAAGGCTCTACATTGGTTTTGTGACCCAGTATAAAGAATTTAATGTCTGTTCATTTCAGGGGTTATTGCTGGTGCTGTCGTTGGAACCATTCTGGCCCTTCTTGTTGTTGCTGCAGTAGGATTTTTCCTCTGGTGGAGAAGAAGGTAAAATCATTTGATTATTGTGATACATCAAATGTATTAATGAAGTAGGAGCTCTCGCATGAAAGGTCCTGGGTAGTTGAAAGGAGCTTCTCTTACCTTCAGGAGCCCTTTAGGCTCATCGCACCCGAAATACCACCAAAAACTACCTTGTTGTGTCTTCCCTATTTACGTCAATGCATTTTCCATGAAGGCTTCACTCTCCCCCAGTGCCAAAGAGAACTGCTTCACCTCAGTTGTCTACAACAGATATTGTAAACCGAGCCTATTAAATCTTGAGATGTAGATATCTGTTGGTGGTGAAACACTGGATCTCGGAGTAGACAAAAATCAGGAGGAGCCAGGATCTAACCTTTAAAGAAGTACTCTGGGCAAAAATATTCTTAACCCTTGCAGTGGGGCTACCCCCCGCATTACAAGGGTTAAGTGCTTGTAAGATATAGTCACCTGAACCTCAGAACTGGCTCCTGCAGCCTTTCTCCCCCTCCGCTTCAGCAGTCTAAGGTGCCGTAAGTCATGATGTCCTGTACAGTGTATAGGACATGAGAACACTGAAGGGTGTTCCATTTCTAAAGCGGAGGAAGAGACAGGCTGCAGGGACGGGTCTAGCAGCTAGAAGGCTCCTAGGTGTAGGTGAGTATATCTTTTTTGTTTTTGTCCCTAGATCAAAACATGCAATTGACCCTTGCAGTGCAGGGGTAGCCCCACTGCAAGGGTTAGGAATATTTATTCCCAGAGTTTTTTCTTTAAAGGCAGCTCTCTGTCAACCAAGGTACCCCAGAGGGTCCCTGGAGTAGTCTTTAAAATGTTTGGAAGGCTGAGAGGACCACAAAGCTTGAGCAAGTCCAATAATAATGGCCCTTTGTACATGGCATTGAATCAAAAAGCCAACCCATTTTGGGGGCTAAAAAATCCCTTCATCAAAGCTAAGATCCTATAAAATAGAATAGGCTACGTATCTAAAACTACAAGCACTGGTTAATAACAAGACAAAGGCATGCACCTTAAAATGCTATCTGTGTACTGTACTGCACCTATGACTATATGTACAGTTAAAAACAGTGCTTGTAGTTTTAGATATTTAGCTTATACTCTTTTATGTTCATTTGTCTCCTTGCCCTGATGAAGGGGGAGTTTTGAGCACCTCGAAATGCGTTGGAGATTTGATTCCATATCGTGTACTATAAAAAATTCTTAATAGGCTTATTCAAAATGCGCTGGAGATTTGATTCCATGTCATGTACTGACTAAGAATGAAAATTCCTAATAGGCTTATTCAAGATTTGTTGCTCTCTTATCCTTCTAATATTTTAAATCTTGTGGCGTGAAACAATTCTTTTTTAACAACAATAATGGAATATGAACAACTGCTGCATCTGGGCTCATTGACTTTCATTGGGTATTTTCCTTAGAGGACAATTCCAGTATAAATACATTGTATCTGTTTGCTCTATTACAGGAAAGGAGGCAATTCGAAAAATAAAGACATGGCCTTCTCAAACGTGAAGTAAGTTTGTTTCTTGTGCTTATTGTTAGATATTCTACAGACAATAACATCTACTCAGAAGGTGATAGTCAGCTGATTGATCTGATAACTGTCAGGAAACAATCACATGTCTTACCCTTGAGCTGTACTGACAGCAACAGGCAGCCTTGCCTGGGTGGAGTTGTCAGTTGGTTGGGATGGTACCAGACGTGGTGGAATGTGGCATTGACATGCATGCTTGGGTAAGCATCCGTGTTTATGAAACAATCGGCTTTCTGAAGCATTGCCGGATGTCCTGACTGCCATTTTTATCTATGGGTACCTTAAAGGTAACCTGTGCTGAGGCAAACCTTGACAGGGCTATTCACTAAGCTGCCGAGAGAATAACCGAGCTGGAGTGAGGTGAGCCGAATGCTGGCTTCTGGCTGGTATGGCTGATTTGCCTTCGGTCAGCTGGACATGCTCTGCAAGTTCGGCTGAGCCGAAGTGCAGAAGGACTTCAAAGTGCAGAAGGCCTTTGGCTGCTGTACGGGCTATAGTGAATAGCCCGTACAGCAACCCTTCGGTTCGACTGAACCAAAGGGCTCCCAGCGGCCGAAGAAAGCCGAAGGATCAACCGAAGCTACGGCTGGCTCCTTTGTGAATTACACCCTGAGACTGCCATTGCCGACTTGCTTAGTAAAAGGCTAGCTAAAAGAGGATAGGAGGAGGGGGGAGTAGAGGGTAAAGAAAATATGGATTAAGAGAAGAGGCTAAGAAAGTATTAGAGTGAAAGGCAAAAGAGTAATAGGTATGCCCATCCTACCATCCACCAGGGTTGGAGCTTACACTGTCAGTCACCACTCCCCACAGGGATTCCCCCCTCACCTCTCTGATCCCCCAGCGCTGAGTGGAGGAAGGAACAGGGAGGGGACAGGCACAGATGGCTCTGGCCCTAGATAGTCAGAGCCCGCCGTCACTCACGCAGCTGGGTGGATCTTGACAGTATTTCTGGGATCCATCCCGGCTGCGGCTCTCTCAGTATATCGCGGGCAATAGCCCGCGATATACTGAGCTTTGGGTTACGGGAGGAGGTTAGTATATGTCCTCCTGTGACCCTAAAGAGAACTATGGGGAAAAACACTTACCCCATAGTTCTCTTCTAATGGAACTTCGCTATCGGTATCTCGGCGAGTACAGAAAAAAAAATATCACTACTCGATACCGAACAAAACGGCATTGATGCATCCCTATTTGCTAAAACTTGCTATAGTGACATATGTGGAAAGCTGCTCATTTTGAAAACATGCAATTGTGATCTGTAGTATATACACGTAGACTGAATGATGTAATATGTATATAAACTATATATTGTACCAAAATGTTTTTTCTATGCTGAGTACCTTTACTAAAATATTTCTTCTTTCTTCCTCTTTCCTGAAGGAGCGAGAAAAAGTAAGTTTTTGCCCTTTCCCCCCCCCAAGTATAAATTATATTTAAGGTGCTTTTTTTTCTTGCTTGTGACACCCTTACCTTTATTTTTTTAGGAGATCCCTAGCTATGAGCACAGATCGCTTCCTGCAACATTTTGATAAACAGCGTGCTGACTGTAACCTGGGATTCCTTGAGGAGTACGAGGTACGTTGCGGGTATTCATTGGAGACTTTCCATCATTAACAGAACTCCCTCAGCTGCTCTGACCCGCTCTGTATAACAGTGTGAATAGGCCCCATCTTCCATTGTTTAGCCAAGGCTATGAGCTGCCTTTTCCATTTAAAGGTGAACTCCATACAAATTGTTCAAGGTATCACTGAAATACATATTTGGGATCTGGCCGCTAACATACATATTCACTTAAACCAGTAATGTATACACTGGATATTACAACTGTGGTTGCTCCTTTGCTCTGGTACCTCAGATCCTTGCTTCAGGCTTGGTCCTTGCATGCACCTTCCTGGTTCAGCAGAGTGTCTGCAATGAACCTGACTAAACTTCTCTACTATTATAGAACCCTTCCAGTTGCAATCCCTCCTTCTGCTCTCAGGTCTCTTCACAAAAGCATTGACTCCCCAAGCTGAAGGCCATTCTTTCTAGACATGAGAGAGCGGGAAGTATATGCGCTAATATGATGCATTGCAAACCTTTCCAATAACCCTTTATCAGACCAGTATTGCCCCACTTTGGACTTTCTTAAAAATCCCAAATCACTATCCTACTACTCTTCAAGCGTTAACCTGGCTTCCACCTCAAGGACAGTAGACATCAATCTACTATTAAAACATAATCTAGAATTTTGGGATGCACTCAAATGGTCCAGTGAGTTTTTGTCCCCCACGCACCCCTTTTGCCACTTTTATCTCAACCCACATTTCAGCCAGGTTACCTTAAACCTAGGGCCTTTGTCTGGTGGCCCTCTGCAGACTACCATAAAGTTCACCAATTCTTGACCTTCTCCTCTATTAAATCCTGGGATTACAAATGAGAACACAGAAAACCTTCCGCTGCAGAACTTATATAGAATATTGGGTTTCTTTCTACCCTCATTAAGAGATCTCATCAAACCCCTAATTCGCTTTGAATATATCTGTCTGCAAAGCCCAGGTGGTCCTACACTGATTTTTATGTTATACTCAAGTCACAGTTAACAGACTGCCACCAGCAGAACAGGTACATTTATATGGGAAAATTAGATCTTCCAAACTGTCCCTTCTTGGAGATATGCTACATATTTGGTGGAGATATCCATTTGCTGCAACCTTTTGGTCTAAAGTCTTTCATCTTCTGAAGTCATTGTTTCATAAGGACATCCCCGAAAAAGCCCTCTTAGGGTGCCCACACACCCTACGATAATCGTACGATAATCGCGGGAAATCCCGCGATCGTACGATTATCGTAAGGTGTGTGGAAGTCGTGCGACCTCTACTACTGTAAGGTCGCACGACTTTAAACTTACGAACATGTTCGAAAACCAGCCGAACATCGTACGATGTTCGGCGGGTGTGTAGCATGTTCGTAAGATAAAAGCCGGACGGGCCGGTGTGCGCAAGCGCACACTGCCCGTTTGGCATTGCGGTCATCGGAAGCCCGCGCCTCAGGGTGGCGCAGCTTGCAATCATCGCAAGTACGATCTGCCTGTCCAAGATAGGCAGATTGTACGTTTTCTTAATTACCTTACAACCATCGCAAGACAGAAGTCTGGCGATGGTTGTAAGGTGTGTTTCTGGCATTACATAGCAAGATAGTAACAAAGTTACAACAATCACTGACGTACCATATTCTGATTGCGACTCAACTAACTCTGATAAGGAACTGGAAAAAGTTGTCTATTCTGCTTCTGGAAAACATAATGGTCAATGAATGCCTGAGGAGAATCTTTCACGATAAACATAAGAAACTCCTACGTATTTGGAAGCCCTGCATATTGTTTTATCACCCTGAGATGGACATAATAGTCCCAGATACCTTTAATCTCATGTGCATGGGAGGGGGGTGTCCCTGCTATATCAGGGTTGGCTTGCCGTTCACACCACTCCACATAATGCTTGCACATAAAAAAAAAACATTGTTCCTTCTCCCTTCTACAAAAGCTTTACCTTTCTTTCCATCCCCTCTGTAACTTCTACCCCCTTAGCTCTTCCAGGGTATACACTGATAGATGTTATACATTGCTGGCTGGACAAACAAAATCTGACATCCACAATAAAACTGTGTACGGGCGACCCTCCTGCTGTGTCATTTGTATTCTGACAATGGTGCCCGTTGCTGTCAGCATGCCCAAACATGGTTTACAGATGACTGGCAACATGCACTGTCACCCGACAATTTTCCTGAGATAAAGTCAATTGAACCATGGACTTCTGTCACGGAGATAGGGCCCCCACGGATCACATTTTTGATGAAATGGCCAAAATTCTATTCATGTGTACCCAGCTTTAGTCATCTAAAACTTCACATACACCAGCGTAATGAGGAACCACATTGTATTGACGTTTAAGAGTAAGGCAAACCCTTTTTAAAAATTTTGGATAGAGTAGGAAAGGGTTAGGCCCTCTGTCAAGGTTGTATTGCTTTCTCTGTCCCAGTTGCAGAGCTGCACCCGTCTGTTTGTGCTGGTGACCATTTTGTCACCCAGACAGAAAGTGAAGAGAAATCCAAAAAGAGGAAATCTTTCATTGGGGAAATCTTCCAATGGGGATGCCTGTCCTGGTAACAACTGTCTAAGAATAGAATATCCCTCACTTTGGGCGATTATTCTTCACCTTCTGCATCTCTGGGACAGGAAGTGAAGGGAAATCTCCCCAATGGTGCACATAGAACAAAAAAATTAGCTGAGAATGGCTTTAACCCCCCCCCAAGCTATCCACAGCTTAGCACAGGCTTTGGCTATACATAAGCTTAGAATACATTTTAATTTGCCCAAACAAGGATGCTCTGTACAGGTAATAGCTTTGACGTGACCAGGTTAGGGGCAGCTTGTTTCACAAATTAACATTAACATTTTACCTTTTTTGTCATATTTAGAAATTAAAAACTGTTGGTACAACGCTATCAAAAACAGCCGCTGATGACCCAGAAAACAGAGAAAAGAACCGATACACAAATGTGCTGCCGTGTGGGTATTATACATACTGATAGATTTATTTGTAATGATGGCAACTGGAGAAGCAGTAATTGTAACTACAATGCTTTTATTATAACTTTTGATTGGTAGCTTAGCAGTTAGCACTTTGGTAGATGCAAAGAAGAATGTACAGAGACTCTACGATCAGATAGTAACGTGTAGGGCAAGCTTAAAGGAGAACTATGAGGTGAGTGCTTTTCACTCACCTCATAGTTCTAGCCGACCTGTGACAATGAGACTGTCACAGGTCGGCTCAGTAGATTGGGAAGTGACAGGGGAGGGGCCGGATTCCCCCCTCCCCACTCCGATCCTCCAGCACTGACTGGCGGAATGGACGGGCAGGGGGCGGGTACAGCTGGCTCTGCCTCTGGATAGGCAGAGCCAGTTGTCACTCACGCAGCTGGGCAGATCCCGACATAATTGTCGGGATCCGCTTCAGCTGCGGCGTCTCAGTATACCGCGAGTTGTAGCTCTCGCAGTATATTGAGCTTAGGGTGACGGGAGGGCGCTAGTTTGTGTCCTCCCGTTACCCTTAGGAGAACTATGGGGAAAAGCCCTAACCCCATAGTTCTCCTTTAAAGTCCAACTGAACGTTCAGTTTATATCTGCTAAATACATTCCAGGTGCGCAAAAGGTATGTTCACTTTCTTTAGAAAACAGCCACAGCTTCAGTATAAAATCCTGTCCCCTGCCAGCATGCTGCAGAGAAGGACCCTTGCTCTCTCTGGGCCATGTATATTTGTTTGATCTGGATTCATTATTGAAAAAAGTTTAATGCTACTTTAAGGAAGAACTCCAGGTATTTTTCAAATGAACCCTTGCTGTGGGGCTGTCCCTGCACTACAAGGGCTAACTGCTGGTTTTGGTCAAGGGATGGGTCTAGCAGCCTCTTCTTCCCTGGGCTCTGGCAGTCTAATGACCCATTATGTCATCATGTCTAATGCCGAGCCATTGGACATGCAGATGCTGAGGTACATACCACAGCCAGAATTGAGGGTGAGGAAGGTAAGTGGTCACTGATGCAGGACCTGGATCAGGAGGTGAGTATATCTTCTTTACTTTTGCCCCTAGACCAAAATGAGCACTTAACCCTTGCAGTGTGGGGTAGCCCCACTGCATGGGTTCATTTAAAAAATACCCAGAGTTCTTCTTAGAGTTATTACAGTAAAGATGCAAGCTTTTCTGGATTCCTTACATGTATGAAGCTTGACGAAGGGATCTAAGGACTCCTAAAAAGCTTGCATCTTCAATGAAAGGTATCACTTAAATTCCAAACTTTCTGTACTAATATTTTAAATAATATGTTGCTTCTTTTTTTCCCCCACGTTAGATGATATTTCCCGCGTTATACTTTCCACTAATGGGAACTCCTCAGACGATTACATCAACGCAAACTACATCCCTGTAAGCAGATAAGTTACTAAAAGGAGGTTTGTCGGTAGGGATGCACTGATCCCGGTTTCTCGATATCGAGTACGAGCACCAATATTTTTTTTCCGGTACTCGTTGATACCGAATACTGATACCGGAAGTCCGATTAAGGGATATATAGCGACGTGCAATGATGCGCCGCCCGGCTTCCCGATTAGCCAGGAAGCCGTCTCCATGCTCCCTCATCACCAGGTGACGAGGAACCATGGAGCCGGTTTTCTGGACAATCAGGAAGCTGTGAGCGGGTAATGACTTGCCACTCGGCTTCCTGATTAGCTAGCTTACCGACCAATCAGAAAGCCCGGCGACCAGTCATTACACGCCGCCTGCCTTCCTGATTTGTTTCGGAATCGGCTCCATGCTTCCTCGTCACCAAGTGCCCGGAAGCCAGGCGGTGAGTCATTACACTTGGTGACGAGAAAGCATGGAGCCGGCTTCCCGGCCAATCAGGAAGCCGGCAGCGTGTGATGACTTGCCTTCCTGATACTGGAAGTTCCGGTATTGGAGCAAGCATTGGGAGTATTTGGCCGAGTACCAGCTCAAAGACTCGGTATTGCTACCGGTGCATCCCTATTTGTCAGGTTTGGTGATTTACTTGTACTGGGTCGGTCACTACCACTACTCTATCTGCATTTCCAGGGCTACATCAACTCCAAAGAGTTCATCGCATCGCAAGGTCCGCTCCCCAAAACCCTCAACGATTTCTGGCGCATGATGTGGGAGAAGGATGTCCGGTCGATCGTCATGCTGACGAAATGCGTTGAAATAGGGAAGGTACATAAAAAATATGGTTTTTTTTAAAGCAGGAGGGCAAAGTAAGCAATTATAACGGTGAGATTGATATTGTGTGTTCCTGAAAACTAAATCAGATTGGAATTTGCATTCAAACTGGAACCCTGACCTTTTCTTTAAGTCTTTAAAGAGGAACTTTACCCATATCTTCAAAATAACAACAAACACACCTCTAGAAATGTTTATAGAAAGCACAATGTTTAGAGCGCACTCCTGTAGGTCAGACACAACTCTGGAGATTAACTACTGGTGGTGTGCGAAACTCCTCATAACAGGGGGAGGGACCCTGTGTACCAATAACAAACAAACCGACTCTTCTTGGAGGAGCGCTACTACCTGGAATCACTTTTATGGGCAATGCTTGTACAGTGATGTAGGATCATGTATGTGTCAAATACAAATATAGAAAAACAGTCTTTTAGAATGGAAAGGATATAGACTTACAGTTAGGATATAGGAGAGCTCAACATTTGACAACTTGAGGGATTTAGCCATTCAGCCTAGCCCCTTTTCAGCCACTCACCTCTCATCTGCCAGATAGAAGGACCTGACCATCAGATCCTGAAGTGAAGATAAGGCGAGTTTTTGGGCAGAGTCTCCTATATCCTAACTGTAAGTCTATATCCTTTCCATTCTAAAAGACTGTTTTTCTATATTTGTATTTGACACATACATGATCCTACATCACTGTACAAGCATTGCCCATAAAAGTGATTCCAGGTAGTAGCGCTCCTCCAAGAAGAGTCTGTTTGTTTGTCATCACTAAACATTTCTAGAACAATCTACAAAACACTTCTAGAGCATTGCCTGCTTTTTTATTCTTTACATGCTTTACATTTCTTTTATTCCCCAGTCTTCTCACGGTGGCCATTTTTACTAAGGGCAGATGAATCCATCTCCCTTTACTTCCTGGAATTATAGCACATGTGACTAGGACATGTGACCATGCACATCATCTCAGGGGAGGAAAATCCCTTTCCCTGAAATCTCATGGGATTACAGATGAGATTTGCATCAATGCTCTACTGATGTAACCTTCCCAGTATGCAATGCTTGGGCACAAATACATAATTTGTACCAAAAAGGTCCAGGAAGTGGAATAAAAGAAATGATATGTAAAATACATACATGTTGGTTTAACTAATGAGTGTAAGATGATTTAATATCCGTATGCAGAGCTGTATGCTGATACAAGGGGGTAAAGGTCCATTTTGAGTAGAACTGAAGCCAAAATCTTTTTTTTTTTAAATTTTTGGATAGAGTAGGGGACGACTATAACCCCTGACAGCTGTTTTTTTTTTCATCTGTGTCCCGTTGGGGAGAGTTTCCTTCACTCCCTGCCACAACAGGAAGTGAGAGGAGATCCCTTCAAACAGAGGGCATATTCTGGTGGTAAGTAGAACTAGTCTCCCCATTGGAAGATTTCCCATATATCTCTGTTCTGAAGACAACCCACATTTTTTTATTTTCTTTCACTGGATAATGGTCGCCAGGACAATTTGAGAGGGTGAATCTCTCTAACGGGGACACAGACAGCAGTAAAAATAAATACCATATAATGCAGCTCATCAGTCTTCAGATGTAATGACTGCATTGGTTTTCTTATTTTCAGGTTTCTCTTCTTAAACACTTCCTGTTCTAGGCTCTATGTGACTTGATGCAGCTTCTAATGCACATTGTGAGAAGCTACATATCTATAGTAGACTCAATTCAAAGCATGCAGCTTGGTAGGATAGGAAAGGGAGGGCAGCAATTGTGCCCAACCCAACCCCATTCCTAAACCATGCCAGGCCACATGCCCTCAGCATAGGGAGGATCTGAACCCAAATCTCATCCCTAGTTCTTAGATATGTTGGCTGCATTAGTTTCCTCTTTTAAAGCTGGATTCCATTATAGTATAAACAAAAACCTTCCCGTGCAGGACAGAAAAAGCTCCACTAGAAGGATATTTTTTCATTTCCCCGTAGCTCATTCACCTGGTGATCCTATAAGTAGCACACTTCCTATCCTAGGGTGACAACGCTCCCTCACTGTACTGTATCTACAGAGCAGTTGTGTTGTCACACTAAGCTGCTCTACAAGAGCAGGATCAACAGCTATTCTTCTGTACTTGCAAGCAAATTTACTTAGAAAGAGAACAAAATCAGCTACTATGTCTAAAGACTTGTGGTGGTTTGGATGCGCTTTAATGATCCTTTATTGTTTGTTGTCATTGAGATGGTAACTGTATGTTCATGTTTTCCAGTTGAAATGTGAGGAATATTGGCCTTCGCGGAGCTCCAGGACATTTGGGAACTTGTCAGTGTCCTTAAGCAATGAAGCCGTCGATCGAGACTGGACCATCAGGAACTTTGTAATGCTTAATGTGAGTGCCGGGACTGACTGGGCTAAAACTAGAGCAGTTTTCAGTGCAAAGGATTCAGTGGGGGAGAAGCAGAAGGTGGCAGTGGAGCAGGGACGTGCGGTCAGGGTAGGCAGGTGAGGCGGAGTCTCACCTAGAATTATGGAGGAAAAAGCTGTCAGCTTCATGTCTGAAGCTGACAGCTTCTTCTCCATTCAGATCGGCTTCTAACAGGTTACATAGCAGGGAAATCCTCCACACTGTGTAACCTGTCATGGACGGAGCGCCTCAGCAGTGAGGAGCAAGTGAGAGACAGGGAGGCTCCTCCCTGTCCCCTCCCTTCCTCCTTTACACTAGCTTGGGGGTGGAGCTTCGGACCGCAGTGGTGGAGCTTCTGATGGCAGGGGCGTAGCTTCGGATGGTGGGGGTGGGGCTGGGGAATGCCTCACCCGGAGCAAGAGGTACCGCACGTCACTGCAGTGGAGTTGCCAAGGGCCCAAAAATTTAAAAATAATTCGGGAACATCGTAGGCCATTTGTGGGAAAAATAGTACAATGTATCAAAGAATAACCCCCATTAATAGTCATCTACGTATCTGGAATTAAGCATCACTGCTTAAAAGGTATGTACACCCTAACAATGATCTTATTTGCTCCCTTTTGATTTTAGCGCACTTCCTATCTCAGCGACCCCACAAGAAGTGAGGGACAATCTCTCCAATGGCTACAGACATAGCAATAAAAACTTGACAGGGCTAACTCTTCCTTATGCTATCATATGACATTTGAGAAGCTTATAGCATGGGGGGCAAACTCTGGCTCTTCAGGAGTGGTTAAACTGCAAATCCCATCAGTTATCTGTCTCTGGGAGTCATGCCTGTGGCTGTGGGAATCTTGCAATGCCTCATGGGATTTTTAGTTTCACAACAGTCGGAGGGCCTGAGTTTTCACCACCCCCTGTCTTAAAGTAATGGTGGCCAAAAGGAATCAAAATATGGAGATTTAAAAGCTTTCATTTCCATGACCGAGTATAAAGTTTAACTGTCTCACCATTATCATCTCTCTATTTCAGATCAAAAGCAGGCAGAGCAAGCACGTGCGTCACTTCCATTATACCGCCTGGCCGGATCACGGCGTTCCCAAAACAACTGAGGACCTGGTAGAGTTTAGGAATTTGATCCGTGATTACACCGCCACCCACAACCCACCAAGCTCACCTATAGTGGTTCACTGCAGGTACGTGATAGACAGTAACCTGACTCTGGATTGTTTAGCAAGTCAATGCATGGAGCACTGAGGATGCACACAGTGTAGGGGCTTATGAGTATCGCTTGGATTTAAACCTTCCCTCCATTCGGAACAGTCAGAACAATGAAGAACGTATTCTGTACAATGCCTGGAAAACTCCAGACTAGTTATCTTCTGCTGGAATGGTGCATATTGTAGAAACGCTGCGACATTGTTAGCCGTCCACCCAGCCAAAGTCATGCGTGTAGACCCCGTTACTTTCTCGGATTAGATATAATGTGTCTCTCTGTCTGAGCACAAGACCGCCCTTTTCTATGATTCCATTTCCTTTTATTATTATAATTGATTAGAAGAACAAATCGTGAAATAGAGCGCAAACTATGTTACGTATGTCTTTATGTGTTTCTCTCTCTGCGTTTGCTGTCTCTACCTGCCCCCTTCCTCTGTTCCTCTCTGTGTCCCCCTTTCTATCTGTCTGTCTTCTGTCTCTCTCTCTGCCCCCCATCTCTCTCCCCCTCTGTCTCTCTCCCCCTGTCTGTCTGTCTGTCTCTTTCTCTCTCTGTGTGTCTGTCTCCTTGTCTGTCTGTCTCTCTCTCTGTGTCCCCCAGTCTGTCTGTCTCTTCCTTCCTTCTCTCGCTCTCTCTTCTTCTCTCTCTCTCTGTCTCTCTAGCTCTCTCTTTCTCTCTCTCTCTCTCTCCCTTTCTCTCTCTCTTCCTCTCCCCCTCTCTCTCTCGTTATCTCTCTCTCTCTGTCTCTCTCGCTCTCTCTTTCTCTCTCTCTCTCTCTCTCACTCTCTCCCCTTCTCTCCCATTCTCTATCTCTCTCTCTCTCCTCCTTCTCTGTTTCAGATTCAGGATGATTACCCTGTAAATCTTTGATGTTAACACGTGTTTGGTCTTTCACAGTGCTGGCGTTGGCAGGACTGGCACCCTCATCGCCCTGGATCGACTCATAAAACAAATCGAAGCTGAGGATAAAGTGGATGTTTACGGAGTGGTTTACGACCTTCGAATGCACCGAGGACTGATGGTGCAAACAGAGGTGAGCAAGTTTAATGAATGAAGGTTCCTGAGGATGTAGAAGAAAAGCTAGAAATATGTTGTTAAAGCTGAAGTTTAATGTATTTATATTTTGTCTTTCCTGGTTCCTCCCTTCCTATTTTCTTTAATCATTATCAGGGTTATTCACAAAAGGGTGAAGAGTTTGGAGAAGAGAACAATCTAGAACAAAATAGCTGATTTGGAAACATTCTCCAATTCAGCTCACTTTCCAGTTCAGCTATGTTGTCCTAGATTGTTCTCTTCTCTGGCCTTCTCCAAACCCTTCACCCTTTTGTGAATAACCCTGTTATAAATGTAGCTGTGTATGACAATTCATTGTTTCATTGCACTTTAGTAACATTGTTCTTCTTTCCAATACAGAACCAGTATGTTTTCTTGAATCAGTGTGCTGCGGACATTATAAAGGCTCGAACGCCCCAGAACTCTGAATCCATATATCAGAACTCTGAATCCATATATCAGAACTCTGAATCCATATATCAGAACTCTGAATCCATATATCAGAATTCTGAATTAATGTACCAAAATGCATCTTCCATATATCCGAACATCAGCAAGACCAACCTGTAGAAATGTTTAACCCAAAAAAAAGACCTCTCTGGGCGAGGGAGCCGCATTGCTGGTACACATGAACTTAGAACCCATCACTGGAGGGAATCGCACTTTTTAATTTTTCCTGGAGATTATTATTTAATAATTGTGTATATATTGTTGTTGTTTTTTTTCTTCTTCTTGTGTTTCCTAAGATGTACTTTTAACATCTGCTGGAAAGATATGGTACATCTACATTTAAAAGATGAATAATTTGTATACCACTATGTTGGATGATTCTATTTTACTGCAAGGCATTCCTCCCCGTAAGATAAGAGTCTATGATACACATATGTCTTTTATCGCTGGTCCTCCTTACTGGCACTTTACTGGTTTTATTTGTTATGGTCCTAATTTAAAAATATAATTAAAGGGCATCTCATAAGGCAGGGGGCACAGGAGTTGCTGTTGCTGAAATATTTGACAGTGCAGGCTCTACAAGTGTCAATTTAAACCATGCTTTTCTGGTTACTGAGTCTCTGACCAAAACAAAATATGGCATTCAGGTCTCCGACAGGGATAAGTGAAACCGAGAGCTCTTATTTCTATAACGTTTGGGAGATTTTGTAATTTGGGCAAAATGCAGTGCAGTTATTAGGCAAGGTATAATTAATGTGGTTTGTAAAGGGGGCAGTGTTCTTTAAATGGCTCTTGGGGGTTACAGAAGCCTCTTTTAACTATCCTAGACCTGCTCTTGTGTAAAAAAAACAGCCTAATTTCTCCAGTTCCTCCAGACCTCCGATCAACCCCAGTTCCTGCACCTTTAGACCTCGAATCAGCCCCAGTTCCTGCACCTTCAGACCTCAGATCAGCCCCATTTCCAGCACCTTCCGTGCTCAGATCAGTCCCAATTCCTGCAACTTAAGACCTCACATCAGCTCTAATTCCTGCACCTTCACACCTCACATCAGCCCCAATTCCTGCACCTTCACACCTCAGATAAGCCCCAATTTCTGCACCTTAAGACCTCAAAACAGCCCCAATTTCTGCACTTTAAGACCTCAGATCAGCCCCATTTCCTGCACCTTCCGTGCTCAGATCAGTCCTAATTCCTGCACCTTCACACCTCACATCAGCCCTAATTCCTGCACCTTCACACCTCACATCAGCCCCACTTCCTGCACCTTCACACCTCACATCAGCCCCAATTTCTGCACATTCAGACCTCAGATAAGCCCCAATTTCTGCACCTTAACACCTCAGAGCAGCCCCAGTTCCTGCACCTTAAGACCTCAGAGCAGCCCCAATTTCTGCACCTTGAGACCTCAGAGCAGCCCCGGTTCCTGCACCTTAAGACCTCAGAGCAGCCCCAGTTCCTGCACCTTCAGACCTCAGATCAGCCCCATTTCCTGCACCTTCCGTGCTCAGATCAGTCCTAATTCATGCAACTTAAGAACTCAGAGCAGCCCCAATTTCTGCACCTTCACACTTCACATCAGCCCCAATTTCTGCACATTCAGACCTCAGATCAGCTCCGATTCCTAGACCTTTACATCTCAGACTAGCCCCAATTCCCGCACCTTTGGACCTCTGATCAGCCTCAATTCTTGCCCCATCAGACCTCAGAACAGCCCCAATTTCTGTACCTTCAGACCTCAGATCAGCCCAAAATACAAAATACAGAGGTTTTACATTTATACCTGCTACCTACCTAAAAGTCATTGATGTCAGGTAGCCCTCTGTTATCCATCATGGAGGTGTGTGGGCTGCAGGTGCAGAGGGGCAGGCCAGGCTGTGTAAGGTTATGTATAATCGACAGCCTAATGAGATGTTAATTACAGCCTATGGCATCGGTGCTGTATTTGCAGGGAGCAGGAGCCCTCTGGTGGGCCAACTCTGAGCCAGCACACATGCCACATGATGATCTTCCGGGTGCCTTTGATAATGATATTGTGTGTCCGTCCTGGCACATGTACCTTAGATTTGCCTATACCTGATCTTGAAAATGTCTTGCCCTATTTTGCACTATATGTGCATACTCAAAAGACCACAAAAACTATTCCTGTGGCCAGATAAATAGCCGAACCCCCCCAACACCCATACCTATGACCTCATCTAGCATTATAAATATAGACATCTTAAACTGCACACATTCCTATTTTAATAAACATATAATGGGGGAATTTATAAAAACTGGAACAGACAAAATCTGGAGCAGATTTGCATTGCAACCAATCAGCTTTTCTCTCTCATTTTCAAATCTCAACTGAGCAAACTGAAGAGAGATGCTGATTGGTTGCCACGGCAACTGCTCCAGATTCTTCTGCTCCATTTTTGATAAATTCCCCCCAACTGTGCTCTATTTCAATGTGTGTTGTTTTCACAACTAATCCTTCTATAATAAGAATGTTATGTCATGTTGAAATTGCAACATTGTGACATCAAACAAAAGCTTGTTTACAGATGAATGCAGAAATAATAATCAAATACACCCAGCAACAAAAGGAAAAAATACAAACATGAAAAACATTAATAAAATAGACTAAACAACCTGAAATACACCCAAATTATAGGGGGAAAAAAGGATTTTTTTTTTCTTCCAAGCAAATTTTACTCAGTCTTCTTATTGAGAGTTTTCTTATTGGCGGAAAATGTACTAATTGTGAAATGTTTGCAGCAAAATCAGAGTTTGGTTTCTGCTTCTCCCTAGTCTTTGATTTCAAGTAAGTGACTCCCCAAGTAGCTTGTAAGGTTCAGAATGCAGCCCGTCTGAATTGAAATCTATAGATCTTAAATAATGTAATAATGAATGTGTAACCTAATATATATTGTAAAAATAAAAAAAAATCTATATCAAGTCACATGATGCAAAGATCAATGGTGTGCAGTAACCCATGGCAAAAAATTATAAATCTTCTTCCCCTAGTCTGATCAGATTGAATCGATCAGTTTTTTTTCCTGGTTGCAGCACTTTATCGTTCTTTGCATAATGTTGGTTGTTAAGTGTAATTGTACATAAATAGATTTAAAGAATATTTTATATTTTTGGAATCAAATTCTGCCAACTTTTTTATTGAGATGTATATTTTGGTTTTTGTTTCAATTGTTGATTAATTAAGTGCTATGATATTTTATTTTATTTTTAGAATGAAAGGTGAGGTATTTTTAGGTCTGCGGAAGATCTTTCTCAGGATAATCATGCACTGAAAATGAATGTAACTTATGTAACTGAGGAATATAGTCATAGTGACTGTCTGTGTGTATATAACCCAAACCAATAGGACTTGCACTTTGAAGCTGTGACATTCCGGAACCATCGGCCTTATTTATGAAAGTGTTGAAAATCTACACTTTAATGGGCAAAAGTTTGTGGACACTTGACCAAGACACCTACACGATATAGACAATGACATAAATATATGTACATCCCTCAAATGTATAGAGTTCAGCTGTTCCCAGAATACAGACTTATTAGACATTTGCGGGTTTCCAACCTTGTGGTAACAGTTTGGGGAAGGCCCTCTGCTGCTCCAGCATGGTGGGTGCCCATGTGCACAAAGCCAGCTCCATAAAGACATGGTTGGAGCAGTGTGGCGTGAAGGATCTCAAGCGTCCTGCACAAAGCCCTGACCTCAATCCTACTGAACACCTTTGGAAAGTTCTTTGTGAGTCAGGTCTTCATTATTACTTGACCTCACAAATGTTCTTTTAGTTGAATGGGCACAAATTCTCACAGACACACTTTAAAATCTTGCAGAAAGCCTGCCCATAAGAAGTGGAAGCGGTTATAGCCACAAAGGGAGGCCAACTCCTTATCTTAAACTAACCATGGACCATGGTTTTGGATTGGATGTCCAACAAACTCATGTAGGTGTGGTGGTTAGTTGTCCACAAACCTTTGGCCATATAGTGTATAAAACACTTTTATACATGGATGGTATCTAGGATTCTTGCTACGCAGTATACTGGGGGCTGCTGTGGCCAGTGAAAGGCCAAGACGAAATCATTTGAGAATATACAGGGCTTTTCACAGAGGGGTGAAGAGTTTGGGAAGGCAGGGGAAGGGAACAATCTAGGACAAAATAGCTGATTTGGAAACATTCTCCAATTCAGCTCACTTTCCAGGTCAGCTATGTTGTCCTAGATCAGTGGTGGCGAACCTATGGCACGCGTGCCAGGGAGGGCACGCGAGGCCCTTTCTGCTGGCACGCGAGCCCAGGTGCAGGCCCAAAAACATTAAGGCAGCCAAGCTGTATAATGTCGATCACAATTAGGCAGCGGCAGCCAATAAACAGGTAGGTTAGACGGCTGCTTCCTCCTCGCTAGGACCCCGGGAGGCCCCGCAAGCGGCCGTCTAATCTGCCTGTTTAGAGGTCACCGCCGCTGCCTGATTGTGACTGGCCCGACTACAGAGGCGATCCGGGACGTTCAGGTCCCCTGTGAGAGCCGCACAAGGCCGTAAGGCAGTGATGTTGAACGTTTCTTAAACCCGAGCGCCCAAACTGTAATACTAAACTTATTTTCAGCGCTGGCACTTTGAGATAAATACATTGATTTTGCGTCGCAGTTTGGGCACTCGGGTTCAAAAAGGTTCACCATCACTGTCCTAGATTGTTCCCTTCTCCTGCCTTCTCCAAACTCTTCAACCCTGATAGTGTCCCTGGCTGACTAAAGGCAGCTTATAATATGTTCTCGGAAGCTTATCACTTGTGCTCTGGAGTGCCATATATTGTTATCTCCGGCTGGGTAGCAGATGTCATGTGTTTTTTGGAACTCTATATTGTTCTCTCATGAAGGAAAGACACTAAACACAAGGCCGGCACCAAACAAATGAAAAGTTTTTAATAGAAGAGCAGTAGGCATTACCTTATTGGCTGGCTCGCCATATGTAATATAGAAGAAGGAAAGAGTACTTTAATAAAAGGAAAGTGTCGAAACTTACAATATCTTCCAAATTTCATTTATTGCAATATTAGCCTTAGGATACATGAATACTCGTAGAAGTGAAATAAGAACATTAGATTGTAAGCTCCTTTGGG